CCTGCCCCCAGCAAGGCTCCAAAACACTGGTGTGCCCTGGCACCCTGCTGTGCTTAACCGCCACGTGCCCCTCAGACACCCCACTGTAGGTTAACTGCAATGCACACCTTTAGGTGCCCCACCATGGCTTCTTCACACTCCCCTACAGCCATACACCTAGTCCACCAGTCAACCTCAAATAAAAGCACATGGGCACTAACAGACATGCAGCTCCCTGGTCTAACTCATGCCACTTCACAGAAAGCATCATGAGTTAAACCAATCCTCCTGACCCAACAGACATTCGCCATTGGATCAGGAGAGTGTGTGATCCAGTTCACCTTTGGAGCTGATCGGGGGAAAGTGTGAGAGTGAGTGTGTCTGTAGAGTCTGTCCTCTAGCCCCAACCCCTCTCCAAGCTCCCGTGCTCTGTCAGGATGGGAGGGGGGAAGGCAGGGAAGTGAGTTCAGTCTGGGGTTTCCCCAGGCACACTGGACTCAGGGGGGGCAGGGGGAGGAAGGGGGAACTAGATTGGGTCCCCTACCTCAGGGGGGCTCCAATCCACCCACCCCACCCTCCTGCACTGGCTGGGGAACCCACAGACCAAAGTCACTTCTCCACCCTCCTATCTTGAAGACAGTGTGTGGAGCCGAGCTGGGCTGCATCAGCCAAGCCCTGCTCCCAGCCACACTGACACACATTCATGAAGGTGCTCTGCTTTGGAGCACCTTCATCTGAATCCTCATGCAATGAGAGTTCAGATTGTCACGCGATTGGGCATTTTTTAACTATTCTGCAGCTTCTGTCAGTGCATGGCTGTAGAGTGCTTTCAGTGGCCAATTGTGCAATAAACCATCTCATCTGTCAGTGCCCCATAAATGCTTGCGCTCTAACAAAAGTCCCAGCTATCTAGCTGTCTGCCAAGCTGCCCGCTGTCTGCCAAGCTGCCCCCTGTCTTAGGTCCTATCCCCATTGCAGCAAGCATTCAGTGTCTTAGTTGCATTGTCCTGTCATTCCAGGAGTCAGCAGAGCCTCCCACTGCAGCTTTCTGGGCAGGAGCTCTTCACTCGGTAGCTAGCAGGGTCAGACTGACCGCCTGTTCTCAGGCACCGGCTTTAAGTCTCTTAAACCCCGCCCCATCCGGTCATGTGACTCTGCAGGCACTCACAGGAGTTTCCCTTCTGTGCGGGATGACCTGCATGCTCTCCCTGCTAGAACAGAGTTCATGTATCTACATCCCCTTGTTCCTGGGCTGACTCCCTGACTGGCCCTGCTGCATTTTACAGCTCTGCCTCCCTCCCCAGGGTAAGTTACCCTCCCATAGTTATCCCTTCTCTGTGCCTGACACCATGGGTTGTCTATTGGCAATCATTTCATTAGCAGCTAACTTGTTCCCTAGCTGCAAATCCTTCCTGATTCAGCTCAGCCTGACATAATTTCCTCTTAAAGTAACAGGAGCCTTCTGTCCTGTTACAAGAGCTATATTATTATAATACTGGACCACTATCATTTATTCGGTATCATCCTCTCTCTCACTAAGGTCTCTCCAAAGACCTTAAATTGCACTTACTATCTCAATTTCTTCTCCCGTAATATAAGAACCATTAATTTTTCCTTTGGCATTAGCCTTTATGCTCCTTGGAATACCTAATTTATTAATACCTAATACATCTTTAAGGATTGCAATCTTTTACAAGCTGTTTTCCTGTATGGCTCTAATTTCTGTTCTGTTAGATCAGTGAAAGATACTGAAGCCAATGGGGCTGTTGTGGATTCATGCTGCTGTAAAAAGCCCTGGCGCAACAAAGCAATAAGCATATACTTCATTTAAATCATGTAAAAGACCCACTAAAGCAGGGGCTGGCAACATTTTTGGGCAGAGTGCCAAAAACACCCGCAACCTCAACTTGTAAGATGTTGGTATGCCAGGGGTGGATGGCAGGGGAGCCATGAGGGGCCCAATCCTTGTTGTGGCCATTGCTCCCTGCCATCCACCCTGAGGCATCCCAACATCTTGCAAGTTGAGGTTGTGGGTGTTTTGGGCACTCCACCCAAAAATGTTGCCAACCTTTGCATGCCATGCTCTGCCACCCATGCTGAGGGGTGCCTACCCCTGCACTAAAGTCATGATGTTTCGTATATGTTTAAAGTTATGTTTAAAGTTAACCAGGTGCTCCAGTGCTTGGCTGGATTGGGGTTGATAAAAACAAAGTTTTGGTTCTCTCTAAGATGGAAGGTTTGCTGATCAAATAGAGTAGAAAAAATTACCTATTTTCATTAATGCTAAGGTCCATTTACTGTGATGGCAATATAAAGGAGACTTAAAATAGATGTATATTTAAGTGTAAAGGGGCCTCATAAATAAGAATCAGACTCAAAATCCAGAATTCATGGATGGAGACAACAGATGGAGAAGACACAGCAGAAGCTGACACACTTCTCTTGCTATTTTTGCTCTTTTTACGTAACGCCTAATTACTACCAGCTAATATAGGCAACTTGAAATAACTAATACAGCTCAATACTAATCTAGAGAATATGAAGTTATGATGGGACAGCAAATGAGCTTTAGAATTAATGGGTTTTATTAATATTGAAGATAATCCCAGTCACCTGAGTATATCACTTGGTCATCTGATCCAGGTTTGCACTGTTAAAAGGAATCACAGAATGATGTGCAAATATGCTCTTAAGTGAAAATAAATTTGATTTTTTTCTTTTATTTCATCTTTAAAATATGGAGGCACTTTCACATTCAAAAGTTCAGCGCACAGTTTTGCTTAAAACTAGAATGCAGGTATCCATAGAGAAAAACAAAACAAAAATATTGTTCCTTTATTTTCCATATTCTTTAACTTCATCTCTCTTCAATTTATGAAATAAAAATCTATCTTCCTTCCCTCCCCCCTCTTTTTTCCTTCTAATTGTAACATAGACATAAATATCTTATGTACTATTGACACTTTTCTTCTGCGCTCTATCTTTTGATTGTTTCTCTGGTAAGGTAAGGTGGCTGAACAAGCACTAAATTCAAAAGAGAGTCTTACTTTTGGGAACTGTTCTTGAAAACTAGAAATGCAGTAAGTAAAGGCAAGTTTTGAGGTTCCAGTTGACCAAAGTCACAGTCCTGCACAGCATTTAAACATATATTTGAATTGTATAGATTTCAGCTGGACCTCTGATTTGGAGCCCACATGCAGTGAGGGGAAATTTTCCTCACAGTTATTTAAACAAAAAGAATTGGGGAAACCAACACGGTTTTGCATCAATATGCCACTGCAGAGGTAACCAAAGCAGTTTTGCATCCATGCACCATTCCACAGAGGTGGTCCAAGAGCTGACAGGAGCTTAGACACTGCGCACTGGGTTCCTGTGATTGTCAAGGTTTCCTTTTGCCAAGAAGCAGCATTCTGAGATCTGGTACTAAATCAAACTGGGGCTGGATTGCACGGGACGTCAGAGAAGACATTCATTCATTGTGTTCATAAAGTTATACAAAAGGGCCTGGGTCAGAAGTGAATTTTTAAAAAATTGAAAATATAGGACCAGGTTCTGCACTTGGGAGGTACTACATCATATCATACCATTAATTTCAATGAGACCTCTTGAGGAGGAAGGCATTCTTCAAAGTGAATGAAGATGGTACAATACTTCTTTGGGTAAGTAAATTTCTATACCAGGGCATCAAATCCTAATTCAAGTGTTCTGATAGGTAGTTGTCTATTCTGTAGCTTAATGAGATGCAGGGGAAGGGTACTCCTGCTCTGACTCTTCTCTCCCTGTTAGTTTAGGGTTAACCAAAGCCTCTGCAGTAGCTAAATGGAGAGGCTTTACCAGCTATGTGAAAATGAGTCTGGAAATTGAAAGATTACTCACAGGAATTAAAGAAACTAGACATACCAAATTGGGTACCTCCTAGAATCATTCCCTCCTCTTCTAACCAACTTTGTAGACTAATTTGGTTTAATAGGGATATGGCTTGAAGTGCAAAATTGGCTTCAAGATTTAAGCTTTTCATGTAAATAAATAGCTCTTGTTGTAAATCAGGCAGTTCTGAGGTGCCTCAAAGTCATATGTAAGGGGGCTGGGGGTGTTAAATGATTAACCTAAGTAGAGAATACGTTTGACATCTCCAAGGAGCTAGTTGGGAGTGACTAAGAAACTCTGGAGTGCAAGTTTAGTCAAAAATGGGGAAGTCTGTTTTTTAGGGAGGCCCTCAGTTTTATTCAGCAAATTCAAGTTTGATGTCAACACCAGTGTGACTATCTCTTGGGCACATCTACACATGCATTGATGCACCATTGTTACTGTGCATTAAGTTTAGTACCTGTAATAACAGGTACTAACACAATGCGCAGTAACTGGCACTACTGCACAGTAGCATCAGTGCACGGTCATTTATTGTTGCTAATGAGCAGTAGACTAATTCTACTGTGTATTAGCACGGCTTTTGCTGTGACATGCTAATGTGCAGTAGAATTAGTCTACTGTGCATTTAGCATATCGTGTAGACGCACCCCTTCATGCACACAATTTACTCATGCACATCTGCTGCCATTCTGTTTCTGACAGTGGCATGATATTATGTTGTTTTAGGAATGGGAGTACTTTACTCTTAAGTAAAGTAATGGAATTATGAATCAGGGAGGGGGGAAAAGTTTTGAAGTTCAAACTACGATAGTGGGACTCTGCAATGGAAAAGGCAACTGTTGGTCAAGAATTTTATAAATTGGTTTACTAATTTCCTTTTTTTTTAATGTTAATAAAAACTTTTGTTTTTGATGTCACCACCCCAAATGCTAATACAATTCATAAGTATACTGACAGGAATTAGCCTTCTAACCTGGGGGCCTTTCTTTTTATAAAATCATACCTCGTAAAAGTTGTTAAAACATTTTCATATATTTTCTTTAAAAGTTAAAATAGTTTGATTTAGATTTTAAATATGCTGGTAGGACTTGCTACTCCATCTGAAAAAAATTATTTAAATATAAAATCTAAGGAACTGGACTTAGGCAGGATCATTTGAACAAGAATGCAATCTGTATTCTTTCCCATTATCTCTGAAAAGAGAGGGTTTTTTTCCTTTCCACGGTACATGAAGGGGAGAAGAACATTCCAGATGATCTGGTATCCTGGCACATCTTGAATAAAATGGTATGTGAGATGAATGAGACTAATTACAGAAATTATATCTAAAGGAAGAGAGTTACTTAAAGAATTGATCTTCTCCGATTACTTGTGGACATGAATGTGATCTAATGTCACTGTGTTTATAGGCAGCTTGATCCAGATCCAGTTCTTTGCTGTTAACCTTCGCCTCCATGCAGCCGTTATAAAAGACTGTTAGTGGTGTTATACCAAGGGGAAGATCTGAAAAGGGAATAACATCGTATTGTTAGGCCAAGGCTTCAAACATCCTATATACTTTCCATAGAAGTAAAAAAAAAAAAAAAAAAGTTGGAGCTTCCCATGTCTCATAAGCACGAATCCAGGTTTTCCATTTCCCACGGAAAATTGGGGAAAAATGCAAATTTTCCCTTTTAAGTGAGAAAAACATGGATTTCTCATTTTAATGAAGAAACATACAAATTTTCCACTTTTGCAAAAAGCTCTCTGCAGGCTGGCAGAGTCCCAGCCTTCAAGGGGATCAGGGGAACGGGAGGAGGGCAGTCAGGATGGGGGCACCATGTGCATGTATATGCACATGGCTGCCAGGCAGCCTGATGCCCAGCTCCCACAAGCCTGGTGGGAGGGTAGGGCAGGGGAATTGAGGCCCCCATGGAAGGGAGTGACTTGGACTGGGCTGGGGCTGCTGCCCAGCCAGAAGGTGCATGGGGCTTGGGGTCCAGGGCCAGTATGCGTGGCCACAGGGCCCCGGTGGATAACAAGATGGGGCCACGGATGGCTCACCCAGGGAGTGGCGGGACTAGCTCATCTAGGGGTGGGACTAGCTGCCTGCTGCTGCACACACTCCAGGGCGAGGTGTTGGGGGGTGGTATGTGCCCTGCCAGATCTGTGAGTGGGGTGGGTGCAGGCTGCCTGCTGTGGGCTCAGGCTCCCTTCCCTGCTGCCCTCCCCCAGGGGCCTCCACAGCTGAAAGGGTGAGACCCAGTGCAGCAGGGCAGAGCAGGGCCAGGCAGGAAAGCTCCCTGCTGCTTCAAGCCCCGCGCCACCCTGGCATAGCACCCCCTGCCCACACAGCAGCAGCAGGGGCAGCAGCATGGAGTTGTGCCCCTCGTTGCTGCCTGGCAGGCAGGGGATGTCTCAGCATGGTGCTGCAGCTGGGGCTCAGGTAATCCTACAGAGGACAGGGGATTAGAGACCTGGGTCCCTGGCCTTATAGTCCTGGTAGCTGGGGGCACCCTCTGGCAGGGCTGGGGGTGGGGTCAGGGGACTGTGGGTAGGGAGCAAGGGGCACCAGCAGGGCTGTGGGGCTGTGAGTGGGGATTGAGGGGCACTAGCAGGGGTGGAGGAGTTGTGGGTGGGAAGTGAGGGGCACCTGCAGGCCTGGGGGCCTGTGGCTTGGGAGTGAGGGGCCTGGAATTGCATCCTGGGGAGGCGAGGGGGAAGGAGGAGCTCTGATTTTCCATGATAAAAAACCCAAAATCAAATACCAAAATGTATAGGTACTTAGAATTTATTTTATTATAGTGATTGAGGGACTGGTAGGCTTCCAAATTGCTTTAAAGTTGTAACTATATCAATAAAACATTGCGTTAATTCATATCTATATATATAGTGGTGTCTCATTTTAATCGCAGATTTGGGGGGGTTTAATCAGCAAATTCACTATTTTTTATCAGAAAATTTGTGATTTTTCAACAGAGAAAACCAGGATCCCTGCTCACAAGTCAGCATGATCCATGAGAGAAAATGGGAATTTAGTCACTGACTTGGTCAATTCTTTCCCCCTTGTTCACACATACTAAAGATGAAGGCTCCAAACTTAGGAGAGTGAAGAATATTTGAGGTAAGCAGTATAACCTTCCTCTAATCCAGAAACCCAACAAAATGGAACTTTTCTGTAGTCAATAAAGAAATAGAAAACTGCAGAACACTATTAACATAGGGTGTCTTTATAAGTGTTCTGGAGTGGGAGGAGGACATTTTAATTAGAGCAGCAACACCCTCCGCATCTCATGTATTCAGAGTCACATGCTTAAAAAATGGCAGTGGGAGCACTTTAACTAAAGATCGTTGGACAAGCTTTAGCTAATGTGCCCCACCACCATTTTGAAACACAGGGACGCTGAACACATGTGATGTTGAGCATGCTCGAGTGTTCTAATTAGAGCGTGCACCACCCAAACCCGGAGCCTGGCTGGCCAGAGCCACACTCCAGCTGCCAGCCAGGCTCCAGCCCAGTGCTGGACCCAGCCTCCCCTAGCCCACCTGGGGCGATTTGCCGCATACCAAAGCATGGATGCAGGGGTGTTCCCTGGGGACAACCAGCAGCAGCATATATGTGCTCCCCAGGGAAGAACATATTTATGCTGCTGCTAGTTGTCCCCAGGAAACATACGTTTCCACTCGTAGGGATATGCACTTAACGGTCACTATCACAGTCACTTGGGAATCATAAAACATACCTTTCTTGACTTTATTCTGTTACAACCCACAGGTCATGCAGACTCTACATAGAGTCATACAAAATGAGGGTTGGAAGGGACCTCAGAAGGTCATCTAGTCCAACCCCCTGCTCAAAGCAGGACCATTCCCAACTAGATCATCCCAGCCAAAGCTTTGTCTAGCCAGGTTTTGAAAACCTCCAAGGATGGAGCTTCCACCACTTCTCTAGGTGATCTGTTCCAGTGTTTTACTACCCTCCTAGTGAGAAAATTCTTCCTAATATCTAACCTAAACTTCCCTTGCTGCAACTTGAGACCATTGTTCCTTGTTCTGCCATCTGCCAACACTGAGACCTATCTAGCTCCATCCTCCTTCAACCCCCCCTTCGGGTAGTTGAAAGCTGCTATTAATTCCCCCCTCAGTTTTCTCTTCTCTAGACTAAATAAGCCCAGTTCCCTCAGCCTCTTCTCATAGGTCACATACGCCAGCCCCCTCACCTTTTTTGTCGCCCTCCTCTAGACTCTCTCCAATTTGTCCACATCCTTTCTGTAGTGGGGGGCCCAAAACTGAACAGAGCACTCCAGATGTGGCCTCACCAGTGCTGAACAGATGGGAATAATCACGTCCCTTGACCAACTGGCAATACACCTATCAATGCAGCCCAGTATGCCATTAGCCTTCTTAGTAACAAGGGCACACTGCTGGTTCATATTTAGCTTGATGTCCACTGTAACCTCAATGTCCTTTTCTGCTGAGCTGCTGCCCAGCCAGTCAGCCCCCAGCCTGTACTGGTGCATGGGATTGTTCTGTCCTAAGTGCAGGACAGAATAATCTTGTCCTTGTTGAACCTCATTAGATTTCTTTTGTCCAAATCCTCCAATTTGCCCAGGTCACTCTGAATCCTAGCCCTACCCTTCAGCGTATCTACTACTCTTCTCAGATTGTTATCATCTGCAAACTTCCTATGGGTGCACTTTAAGCCATCTTCCAGGTCGTTGATGAAGACATTGAACAAAACCAGCCCCAGGACCAACCCCTGGGGCACTCCACTTGATACCGGCTGTCAACTAGACATTGAGCCATTGATTGCTACTCTGAGTCCAATGCTCCAGCCAGTTTTCTATCTGCCTTACAGTCCATTCATCCAGCCCATACTTCCTTAGCTTGCCTGGGAAAATGTTGTGGGAAACCGTATCAAAAGCTTTGCTAAGATCAAGGTACCACATCCACAGGTCTCCCTGCATCCATAGAGCCAGTCACCTCATCAGAGAAGGCAATCAGGTTGGTCAGGCATGACTTTTCAAAGATGATGGCCAATGGCTCTGTGATTACATCAGCCAACTCCCTCAGTACCCTCGGGTACATCGCATCTGGTCCCATGGACTTGTACACATGCAGCTTTTCTAGGTAGTCCCAAACCTGTTCTTTCACCACGGAGGACTGCTCACCTCCTCCTCAAACTGTAGTCTGTAGCCTAGAGTGCAGTAGTCTGGGAGCTGATCTTGCCTGTGAAGACAGAGGCAAAAAGGCATGGAGCACTTCAGCCTTTTCTGCATCCTCTGTCACAAGGTTGCCTCCCCCATTCAGTAAGGGACCCACACTTTCCCTGATTCTTCTCTTGCTATCAACATACTTGTAGAAACCCTTCTTGTTAACCTTCACATCCCTTGCTAGCTGCAACTCCAGTTGCACTTTCACATTCCTGACTTCATCCCTGCATGCCCGACCAATGCTCTTATATTCTTCTCTAGTTATTTGTCCAAGTTCCACTTCTTATAAGCTTCCTTTTTGTGATTTTGTTTACTGAAGAGTTTCCTGCTAAGCCAAGCTGGTCTTCTGCCATACTTGCTGGTCTTCCTGCATATTGGGATGGTTTGTTCCTGCACTCTCAGTGAGGCTTCTCTGAAGTACAGCCAGATCTCCTGCACTCCTCTCCCCCTCAGACTGGCTTTCCTGGAGATCCTGCCCATGAGTTCCCTGAGTGAGTTGAAGTCTGCTTTTCTGAAGTCCAAGGTCCTTACTCTGCTGCTCTCCATCCTTCCTTTCCTCAGGATCCTGAACTCAATCATCCTGTGGTCACCGCTGCCCAAGTTGCCATCTACTACTACATTCCCCACCAATTCTTCCCTGTTTGTGAGCAGCAGGTCAAGAAGAGCATGGCCACTAGTTGGGTGCTCCAGCACTTGCATCAGGAAGTTGTCCCCAGTACTCTCCAGAAACTTCCTAGATTGCCTGCACACTGCTGTATTGCCCTCCCAGCAGATGGCAGGGTAATTGAAGTCCCCCATGAGAACCATGCCTTGTGATTGGGAAACAACCTCTAGCTGTTTAAAGCAAGTCTCATCCACCACTTCCTTCTGGTCTGGTGATCTATAGCAGACCCCAACTACGACATCACCCTTGTTGCTCTCCCCTCTAACCTTAACTCAGAGACTCTCAATAGGCCTACCTCCAGTTTCATACTCGAGCTCTGAGCAATCATGTGGCTCTTTACATAAAGTGCAACTTCTCTTCTCCCCTGCCTGTCCTTCCAGAACAGTTTGTAGCCATACAGGACAGTACTCCAAGTCATGCAAGCTATCCCATCAAGTCTCTGTTATTCCAATCATATCATAGTTCTGTGACTATGCAAGGACTTCCAGTTCTTCCTGCTTGTTTTCCAGGCTCTGTGTATTTGTGTACAGACATTTGAGGTAACCAGTTGATTGCCCTGATTTCTCAAGAAGTATGAGAGCACTTATCCTGTTGCCCCCTCCTGCTTGCTCTTCCTCCAGGTCTCCAGCTTCCCCATTTACCTCAGG